ATATTGCTGTTCTTGACGCGGGATGCGCGCTGCAGCCTCTCGATGGAGGAGCGGCGGTTGGGGGAGGGGGAGCCAGGGCCACCGCCATAGATGTGGTTCTCTGAATTGCGGTTCTGCCAGAAGACCCGTGGTGATTTGACTTGGTCTACCGGAGAGGGCTGGAAGGGGGACGAGTCGGTGTTGAGGGATGGTTTCTATAAAACGTCTGTGAGCGGGTGTCCTTTTCTCCTTCCCCTTCCCTCCCTTGGAGGAGCTGGAAGGGCAGAGGGCAGAAGGGAGACCAACCTGAGGAGAAGTTTGATGCCAGCTGGGAGAGTTTCGTCGCATCTCGGTGGCTCCTATCTCCGAGAGCGGGCGGGAGATGGCGGTGGGCATCTTGGATGGTGAAGTAGCGGGCGTGCCTTTGGATATGCGCAGAGGGTGCACCTTGAGGTGGGATCAGCAGCAGTCCGCACGGGAACATCAGACGAGCCCGACTCACCGGTTCCGATGCCATCGTGGACCAGTAGCGGTTGTGTTTCGAGGTGCGGCTAAGCCAGATCGGAAGTCATTGGCACGCGGGTAAGATTGGAAGGCAAGAAATGGGCGAGCTAGGACTGGAATGCCGCGTGCCTCTCTTCTCTCGGTATCGTGTTGACGGGCGTGGCGTGGCGGATGGTCCGTGGCAAGGGAGAAGAAGCAGGGGCGGCAAATGGGCAAACGGGCAAACGAGGACGACTTGGATGGATAAAGGAAAATGGACTGCTTGGGTGCAGGTTAAAGAATGTGGTGGTATGTTATGAATCGAAATGCGCGAGCAAGCAACGCAGAATACCAGAAACCGATATTGAGCGAGGCGAGGGGTTTGGCAGACGCGGAAGAGAAACAGATGGGGAGGAGGGAAAGGGCGAAATGCAGAAGCTGGCGACGGTGCTCGAATGCCGTGTTTAAGGACAAGCTGAGGACTCGGAGGGACAAGCAGAGGTGCTGGCCAGCCTTGTGCGCTGATTGGCTGCTGGGAAAACAAACAGGAAGGCACGTTGCCCTGGTGACGCGGGCCAGCGCTGCCCACTTCCTTGCCATGGCCCTGTCCAGGTTCCCCTCCAAGGGCGGGCGTTGCAAGCCACTGTAAGCCACGGCAAGCCCACTGCGCTGCGCACGCTACAGCGCCCCCGCTATCTGCTCAGGCACTGTGCTGATAGAAGTGGGCGCCATCCCCGCTTCCCGCTCGTCCAGTCCCGAAGAGGCGCACAGGGATCCCACCCGAGTCGCCATGGCAGCCGTCATTCACTTGAAGCATGATCCAAGCAACGGCGCCAAACAACCCCGGCCTCGCATTCCCTCAGCGCCGTCTTCGTATATATCATCCTCCATAGTAGCCCCATCGTGGAATGTTTCGCATCTGCATGTGCGTAGCCTAGCTTGTTTTGCTTCCCGTGCGCGAGATCTTGCTCGCTTCACGACATACTCGCAGCTCACTACTGCACGCCTTGGAACTGGATACAGCTCAAGCTTTTGCCTCGATCCTCTTTGCATATACATATGTATATAACTGCAGTCAGCTAATAACATCCCCACTGCTTGGGAACAAGAAAACCTGCATCTGCCTGCTTGTCCATCCATCCCACCTTGTCCCTGCACCACGCCATCCACTCATGCTTGGTAGCATCGCATTGTTGTCATCGTGATCTATCTCTCCGAGCAGCATCCAAGCCCACACATCCATGTCATCCAACAAGGTTGCATAGACTTGATCATTTCCATTTTCTACTCACCTTGGAAGCCTGGAGCCCACATGTAGAAGAGATGGCGGCCCAACTGTAATAAATCCTGGCATACATCTCATGTAAACATCTGCCGCCAGTGTCGTGCTGCTATTTAAATATAATAGACACGATCGGTATATACTGTGTATTGTCTTGAGTGATAAAAAAACATCATGAGTCACTAAACAAGCGCAGTACTTACACGCACAGTAATTGGGGCGCTATGGGTCGAGTAACTTTTTTTTCGGGCCTGGAGCTTTCGGCCCCGTCCATTGAACTGGCTGATCGATTGACTTCAACATTCGCCTTCACTCGCAGCCGTCTCACTGATCTCTCGCATCATGACACGCTTCCGCCCGTGTATAGACCTCCACGCAGGACAGGTCAAGCAGATTGTGGGCGGCACCCTGGACAGCACCTCAGCCGCCCTGCAGACAAACCACGTATCCCAGGAGCCATCCGCACACTTTGCCAAACTCTACAGGGACAATTCCCTAGCTGGCGCTCATGTCATCATGCTTGGCCCAGGCAATGACGAGGCCGCCAGAGAGGCGCTGGGTGCGTGGCCTGGCGGTCTCCAAGTGGGTGGCGGGATCAACGACAAGAATGCCATGTCGTGGATTGAAGCCGGAGCTGAAAAGGCACGCAAGGACAAATAAACAAAAACATCACACAAGCTCTCAATAGGATGGATGGGCTGACAGGTCAAGATCGACAGGTCATCATCACTTCGTTTCTATTCCCCGAAGGCCGCTTCAGCCAAGAAAGACTAGAATCTGTATTGCAGGCACTCGGTGGTGACAAGAACAAGCTGGTCATCGATCTGAGCTGTCGCCGCCGAGGCGAGGATGGATGGTGTGTTGCCATGAACAAATGGCAAACTCTCACCGACATGGAGGTGAACCAAGGTGCGCTCATGTTTCCTCAGTGCAAGCGTTTCGTATTTGGGCTTACAAGAGGTAGATTCTATCCGGGCCCTTGAGCCCTACTGCTCCGAGTTTCTCATCCACGCAGCCGACAATGAAGGTCTGCAAAAGGGCATAGACGAGAAGCTCGTGCAGCGGCTCGCCGAGTGGTGTTCTATCCCAGTGACATATGCAGGAGGCGGAAGAAACCTGGACGACCTGGAGCTCGTCAAGCGGCTCAGCGGTGGAAAGGTAGACCTGACGATAGGGAGCGCCTTGGACTGCTTTGGAGGCTCAGGGGTCAAGTTTGATGACTGTGTCAAGTGGAACAACTCGCAGTGATGGGGGCAGTATGTGCAATTCATGCCGGTTAAACGACTTCTCAAATTGCGTCTCGTGCTGGATTTGCCTGGTATGACCGCATGGCAGAGACCGCATCATCTGAGCCCAGCCTTTCTGCCCTACAAATACCCCCATCATGATGCAATGCAACATAACCACACAGCTGGGAGATTTATCCACCGCAAACCCCATCAAATCCGCATCATTGCCCCTGCGCCACTTGTTTGAGGAGCCATCGGTGCCATGTGAAAAGCAGCACGCCCGAATAACCTTGAGTTACTAAAACCAGGGGTTTTCTGAGGTTTGAGCCTTCTTAGGTGCAGAGCTCGGCTCGGGTTTGGCCGACTCATCCTCGACGGCCACATCGATGAGACCTTCTTCGGCGCTGGTATCCGACGTGGAAGCCGGGGAAGGGATGGGCTGCTCACCAGGCACCCCGCCAGGAGAGTCGGCCTTTTCCGGTTGATCCTTCTTTTCATCGTCTCGGGCCTGTTCAATATCGCTGGGTAAGGATAGCTTGCAAAGTCTCGAGGCTAAATCAAGGAGCGCTTCATCGATGCTTGCACTGAGCCCCAAATTCATTGGCGTAACAGGCTTCTCCACAGGTGTATTGTCATGAGGTGCCACTTGTTTGCTCTCTCGTTCCTCGTCTTCTCCGTCCCCGATCTGCTTGTGGTCGTTGGTTGTGCCGCTCTTGATGATGCAAGAAGGGCCCAGAGCTTCAACAAATGTCTCGAGTGTCCCGAGCAGGGCCATCCCCCTCTCCTGTCTAATGGACAGTTTCTTGACCCTCTTGCCCCTAAGGGGACAGCGAACGTCCTCGTGTTTCGTGGAGCCACACTGTCAAGTAGAATTAGGTCGGCTGTAAGTGCTTTCTTGGAAGCTTTCTCACCCTCTGGCATCCCTCTTGTACACGCAAATCTTTTATCACGTTCCATGACAAAGTTCGACATTGGTGTTGGTTGGGATAAGTCTGGGGGTCGGCTCTCTGGGCTGGTACAAAGGCAGCCGCGGGCTTGTTGGAGACCTGATGAGCAGGCTTGACAGTCGGCGTGTCTTTGGTCGCAGTATTGGCAATGACAGCGTTTGCAAACGCTTTGCCCATGGCAGTGCCTAGGATGGTGAGCTGGGCCGCGTTGAGACCATCCATCTGTTCAACCATCAGTCCATTTACAGGCTCAGCGAGAAGGGATGCAGTGTTTGCATGAGCAGCTCCTCATCGTACCTCTCTTTCCTCCTGTTCTCTTTTCTGACCACTGGGCCCCCGAAGTGATGATTTGCTCTTCCGTAAGGGATTGGCGAGAGGGGTCTAACGAAGAGAATGGACCGCAAGAGTCGATGTTCCCGTGTTCTGTGACAACGATGGAGAGTGAACAACGTTTGCCACAGAAACAACGACAAGAACGAAAGTCCAAAGGATAGTTCAAAAGTCAAAGGCTGCGTTGTTTGGGAACCCGGGCGGCGAAATTGCGCGTGCGATGTTTGCCTCGCAATTGCCGCCAGCTGCTCAAGCAAGCTGCCTTACCCCGAGCTGATTGATACGCCCAGCTGCAAGCATTTTGTTTGCTGACAGCCGCCTATCGAAATTTACTGTCACAGCAAATGTGATGTTAAAAACAAGGAAGCGAGGTGAAAGATATATGAATGTTAAACCCAAAATACCCGTTGCAGAGGCAGTGGGGATAGGTAGTCCTCCCGCCCTCAGCACGCCCGACGACCAGCCAACACCCAAACTGGGGAGCAAAAAGGAAATACAACTTCACTCTCCCATCGGAAACCCAGGAAACAGCAAAAGTATTACAGGATGCGAGGATCGAACTCGCGACCTTGTCGGGAAAAGTTCATCTTTGTGAACGACACGTGATAGCCACTACACCAATCCTGCTATACGTTCTGAGGCGAGCCTAATCGGATCACAGATGATTGGGCAGAGAGCAAGGGAGAAGTGCAAAAGAAGATATTTCCCCCTACCATGCATATTACATGGTTGGAAGAAACGGCAAAAGAATACAGGATGCGAGGATCGAACTCGCGACCTTGTCGGAAAATGTTCATCTAATGTGAACGACACGTGATAGCCACTACACCAATCCTGCTGTGGTGAAGGACGAGAAATTAAGGTCTAAGAGGACTAGGTCTACGGCCTTCGTCTCAATAACTGGTCCGGCTTCAAGCCCAAATTCTAGGGTAAGGGGTGCTGGTGGGTAACATGTCAAGTCTCAGCATGAATGATGGCGCCTATAACCCAGTCGGGAATAAATATGTTTTAACTTGAATGGATAAACAGGGAACAGCATTGATGTGTTGTGCTGAATATTCTGTCGTGGTACATGTCCTGCCGTAACACCTGAAATGCATGCCATGCTCGTCTCGTGGGTGAATCATGATTCCTTAAAGGACAGAACAATGTACATGCCCGAGACGTAATGAAAATAGAGATCCCCCAATAAACTCAAAGCAAATTCTCAAATCCCCGAAGCAGTAAAGCTGAGCACGCTTCCAGCCGCCAAGCCCAGAACAAGGCACAGTCCCATGAAAGCACTAGCAGCCTCTCGCTCGCCCTCGTCAACCCAGTCACCCGTGGCCATCATGCAGCTCGACCCCAGCCAGCCATTCGTGAATCCGAATACTCCCTGGACGATGAAAAGGTAGAAAAGGTCGCTCGAGACAACGGCGCCGCGGCCGCCAATGTTGCACAGCAGGTACAAGGGCACCAAGCCCGCGCGGACAACAGACAGCACAAATAGGGCAAAGGGTTTCTTCGTGATGGAAAGCGGTATCGCGCTCGCCAGCTTTCCATTCAGGTCGCCGAGGTTCCAGAAGAAGAAGCCAAGAGGGATGAAGGCAGCGGGACGAAGCAGGCCACCCGCGCCCTCATGCACAGACACAATCTTGCTGGTAAAGACGGGGAAGAACATGGTCTCGGCAAAGGTCAATGCAACGCCGATGCAGAGCCAGTGCAATTTCTGGAACAGCCGCCATAGAGACGTCACCTTGCGCGCCGCCCGCTCAGCCTCCTCGATGCTCGTCACCGACTCGCCCATGCGACTAACCATGCGGGCCTCCACAATTTCGTTGTGTCGACGAACCAAAGGGATAAGAGCAACAATGGTAACGCCGGAGACGACGACGGCGGCGAGAAAGTAGAAAAACGCCGAAGACTGTGCCTTGGGCGCGTCGTCTGCTTCCGACGGCGGCTGCTCGTCCGGCGGGAAGACCAGGACCGTTATCACCTGCACAACAGCAGGGACCACACCGGCGACGCCCTGGCCAACCATGAGCGCCTGCATATACTCGGAGCGGCCGAAGCTGCCCGCAAAGGCAAATGCTCCGTTCTGGACGAGCCCCGTAGCCCACGAGGATACGACGACCATGAAGAGAAGGAAGACAAGGTATCCGCGAGCCGACACGTCGAGAAAGATGGCAGTCGACGCGGTGAGCAGTGCGAAGACGACGAGGTTCATGACGAGGGCGAGGTTGATGCGGAACGGGTAGTTGGCCGCGTACTGGAAGTTGCTCAGCACCATGAGCGAGGTGAGGTTGATCACGGTCGAGGCGGTTAATATCGCGGACTGGAAATTGGCCTGCACCCACGGGTCACCGGCAAAGCGGGAGGAGAAGTAGGGAGCGGCGGCGAGGAACATGTTCCTGGGGATGCGGTTAGCATTCATGGTGCACAGCTGCTTTCTTGTTTGTGGCATCATACCAGGCCCAGAGCATCGCCACTCCGAGTAGCGTGAAGATTGAATACTCCATCCATGAGAATGGCACATCCTCCTCAGGCGCGAGGATCGTGGAGTCGTCAAGATGCGTGGGCTCGTCCGTCGCCGTGGTCAGAGGCTCGTACTCCACGCTGGCATCGGAATCGTCGGGACTGAGCCCGAGGGCTCTTCGTACGCTGTCCATGCTGGATATGGTGTGGATGCCTGCGCCCGTGGGTTTCCTTGAGTTCGTCTATCGTCTATGTTCTCTCTGTTCGTACAGACTTCGGGGAAGACTCGCGTGCTCCCAAGAGGAAGCCCGGCAAGAAGGGTTGGCCGTTCACGCCATGCGCTGCACTCGTAGAGGCTGATTCACACGTAAGACAGCTGCTAGCCGAGCTCTGAAGACGCGCGCGTGATCCGGATGGTTGTGTATATATGTAAAGACGTCAGCTGAGGATGTTGACGCGGTCCTGGATCGGCCTTGCTCACATGCGTAGTCAAGGCGACCTTGGTACCTTATCAGTTATCTCAGGCACTGCCGTCACGGAGGCTGTGGGTCTGGCGCTAAACTGATCTACAATACGAGTCTCCAGAGCAAGCTGCCGGCCTACCCTACACTGTTGGGTCACAGTCCCTCCCTCATGCCTGGTTGTGATATTGTCGCTATGATATTTTTAATTTTATTTTTAAATTTATTTTTGGGGTATTTTGCTTTTATCTTGGACTTCTGCCGTGCTGAAAGGGGTACAATAGCGAATGAGGTGACAGCGCGATACACCCTTCCGGCTCCAATATGACCTACTACCGAGAGGGTGTTGTGCCCCCGGCAGGCGACGTATTACCCCTCCACACCGTTTACCCAACGTCGACCAGTATCTTTGCGTCTTCACACAAGGCTGTGTATCTTCCCGTAATATTCGACATCCTGATGCAGATAATCGCCTCGCAGCAGATGGAGCAAGCCTGTCGATGTCTTGTCAAGTCCCACGGCCCTTGACCCCGGCATCGCCCACATTTTACCTAAATAGGAGCCAGAAGATGCGGCCCGTTCTGCAACCTACACGTGATGGAAAACAGATGCGATGCAAGTATGTCATGCATCATTTTTTGTGTTGAAAACCGTCGCACCTGTGGAAGGGCAGTGTCTGATGTTGGAGCCCTTCCCGCCGAGCCTGTGTACACGCAGGCCGTCATGGTTGAGTGCGTGCCATGCTATATGTAGCTAGAATGTTGACAACACTTCCTGGTATGATGGGAACGAGCTTCGTCTAGCAATTACTATATTATTGATCGATTTATTCTTAAATGGCTTAATAAGACGTATCGCACGTCACCATCTATTCATCCAGGGGAAAGCGATCAGTGAATCTAAACTGGGCCAATCCGTCCTTGAAATCATCCAGGATGCCATCAAAGGTACTGGCCATGAAGACGCCAGGACCCTCCGAAGCCCCGACCGACGACAAGATGGTACTGTTAGCACCAATAAACGCCAGTGGCTTGCCCCAGTGGTACGTGTCCGTCACGATCTGCGCAGGACGGCCCGGAGGGTAGAGTGTGGAGGTCCGGGATCCGGCGACGAGTGGGAGAGCAGCACCCGTCAGGATGACGGCGTCAAAGGCAGTAGCATCGGCAGCCGAGTAGGTCATGTCGACGCCAGAGCTACCGAGAGCCTCAGCGACGACAACGACGGTCACGTTATCGGCGGCAAGTGAATCCCGGATGGCGCTGGCCTGTTCGATGGAGTGCTCAGACCTGACGGATGCCAGGACACCGACACGCAGAGTAGCGATTGTGGGCAGCCTCTCGCCAAAGATACTGATGCCGGCAGTGGTGTTATCGTGATAGTAGGTTGGGTCGGGCTCTGGCGCAGCGCGGCCCAGAGCTTCCGCCACGCGCAGAGCAACGTCGTGGCTGATTTTATTCAGCTGCTCAAGGACATTCTCCTGGACTTGGCCCTGAAGGTGGCTCATCTCAAAGCGAATGGCGTTGATGACAAACTGCTGCTCGACCTCTGTCAGGGAGTTATAGAACAGACGTGGCTGCGACCAGTGGTCGGCAAAAGTCGAAGATCGCTGCCTCCTGAGGGTGCCAGAGATCGTGCGGCCGGGAGCAGTAAAGAAACCACGGCCTTCTGCCTGGGTAGCTTGCCTAGGGTAGCCATTGTTCAAGGTGTTGGGGGAATCTATTTGGTCAGAACAAGGCATGGGAGTGTATTTTGAGCTATGACTTACAAGCAACGGTGTTCTTGTGGATGAAGTTCTGGCCAGCTCCGTCACGGTTGTTGTTGTGGATAGGCGAGATGGGCTGTGGGGTGTTAGTGAGTACGATTCAGATTAATGTGATCATGTCTTACCTTGTTGATAGGAATCTGCTCAAAGTTGGGACCGCCGTGTCGGTTCAGCTGGGTGTCCAAATACGAGAAGATACGCCCCTGGAGGAGGGGATCCTCGGTAAAATCGATACCACGCACGATGTGGCCGGGTTGGAACTGTCACCAGAGTCAGACATGCATTTCCCTTTTCCCATGTGGGGTATTAGTACACACCATAATCTGCTCGGTCTCTGCAAAGTAGTTGGTGGGATTGGCGTCCAACCTCATGATACCTAGAGGCTGGAGAGGTGCAAACTCGACCGGGATGATCTTGGTGGGATCAAGCACGTCAAAGCCAAAGGCTAGTGCCTGGTCCTCATCAATGACCTGGACATTGAGCTCCCACTCGGGATAGTTTCCAGACTCAATGGCATCCCAAAGGTCCTGTCGATGGTAGTCGGCATTCTTGCCAGCGATGTGCTGAGCCTCGTCCCACACCAGGCTGGCCTTGCCCTGCTTTGAGACCCAGTGCCACTTGATGAGCTTTGTGGCGCCGTCGTCAGTCACCATGCGGAATGTGTGCACACCAAAGCCGTCCTAGCAAAGTCAGTTAAGATTAATTCTAGAAGGGATGATGGAAGACCATGTACCATGTGTCGGTAGCTTCGAGGGATACCATATCCAGCCATGGCCCAGAAAAGAGTGTGCAGTGTCGTAGTCTGCTGGCTGAAAAAGTCCCATGCCGTATCGTGGGCGGAGGCAGCTTGGGGCATCTCCCTGTCAGGCCTGGGCTTGACAGAGTGAATAAGATCAGGGAACTGGATAGCATCCTGGATGAAGAAGACGGGAATATTGTTTCCGACAATATCAAAGTTACCCTCATCAGTGTAGCTGTCACAGTCAGTACCGTGTGTACGCTGGATCGAGTTACAAGGGAATCGCGTACAATCTCGTGGCAAAACCGTGCACATCCCGGACGGTATCTGCACTTCCTCTGGATCCAGCGACGGTCGAGAAACGGACAAAGGTGGAAGTCTGTTTGCCCTCGGCGCTCAAGAAAGATGCTGCCGTGATGTTG